CCCAGGGAGGCACTCGGAGCCTGGAAGGTGGTCGGGCGCAGGGAGGTGGGCGGCTCAACGCAGGAGCGCCCCCTACTGGCCCGCCACAGTAGCCAAGTAGGTCTAAGAGCACAGGCAGACAAGGTTCTTTGGGTAGATGTGATATCTTTTATTAGACCAAATAAATAGTTGGAAAAAGTGTTCTTTACAAGCTTTTGGACACACACACCTTTCTTCAGACATAGGGAGAGTGTACTAGTATTGTGTGTGCTCTCCTGGGTAGAAGAAGGAAGAGAGCAGTAAACCTGTGAAAGAAAAATGTCCTCAGAAGTAGCTACAAAAGAAGCAAAGGACAGTTGACTTGGACACAATTATGTAGAATAAGTCATTGTTTTATCTGGCCAATAGATCTGGGTGTCTCCAATTCTTTCACAGACCAGAGGAAGAATATTGTGCCCAAAACTTGTCTGACCCCCCCCTCTCCCCCCCAAGCATACAGTTGTTCCAATAAGTGTATTACCAAATAAATCTAAGCTTGGGGGAAAAAAAATTCTTTTATGGCAGATTGTTTAGTCATCTTAACCAGTTTAAATTAATGATGCATAGACTGTGAATTACCATTGACTTGTGTTCTTGATTCATTGTGTTTCATGTATTATTCCATTACAACCAAAGATCCTCAAAAGCATTTAGGTGCCCTGTTGTTTAAGATGCTCAAGTTTATCATTTATACACCACTGAAATGCTAAAGAAAAAACAAAGCATTCAGCTGGCAGGTAACCCCGAGGGGTTTAAGTCTTCTAGGCACCTAAACGTGCATTGATAGGCACACATGAATCCATCTACCAGCACAGCAAACAAGATGCTCGGAGCCCTGACCTGGAGGCATTGGACTGTTATTCTCCAAATAAGTTGGTGGAACAGCTACCTTGCTAATGGCACCTACTTTTAGACATGCTCCAAAAAGCCAGCTACATGGATGGAGCAGTGCATCTTCTACTTGTGGCACTCCAGAAGGCTAGAAGAGTGCTGTGTTCAGATCTCTACTCCACTATGAAGATGAGTAGCTTTGTCTCTTAACTCCTATGTAGGCGTGTTCTGGGGAGGACTGCTTAAGTTCTTGCCTGTTGGACCCTTCCACTATGTATAAATAACTAAATATGTACTGGTACATAGAAAGGCTGACTGCAGAGCTCAGTAATTTGTACGCTCGTGTAAGATATAGAATCACAGACAGACAGAGCTGGGGGGACCTTTGGAGGTTATCTAGTCCAACCCCCTGCTCAAGACAGGTACATCCCAATCCAAACCTTCCCATACAAACGCTTCTCTAGCCTATTCCTAAAACTCCACAAACAACCATGTCCCACAACTACAAGGGATGTACTCCATGGACATCTAGAGCACCCTAACCTGCCACAGCTAAAGCAGGGAGATGAGGGCAGTGTTGGTATCCTGCCACTGCAAGGTTGTTAAATACATTCAAGAAATCCAAGCAAGATCAGGCCACCTACCCACCAACCCCCACCTCCCCACAAAAAAAAAAATTTTTTTTTAAAAGAGAACCCAGAATCTGTATCTATCTTACTGTGGGGTAAAATTCCTCCCTTCCCCCAAATGTGGTCATTGGTCTGATCCTGAGCATCAGAATTGGCACACCCCACTCACAGTCTCCTGCCTTGGCTGTAGCCAACAGCCAATGCTTCTGAGGAAGGCAAAGGAAAACACACACATGTGCACACCCTGACACCTGTAGCAACAGGACAGGGGAAAATTGCTTTCTTGCCCCATGTGGCAACTAGCAAACCCTAAAATCCTCTCCGCTTTGTTCTGCATCCTAGGGACAGCAAATGACTCCATATGAACAATGAGGGTTCAGGTTTCTCCATCAATATATCTTTAGGCATTAATACAAAGGTGGAATAGCTCCACGGAGGAGAAAGAGAGAGACCCATCTTTCTATACCCAATAACCTGAAAGTCGGTGTGCTCGTGTAGGATGTGGGATTGCATTCCAAATCCAGTTAGGCAAAGCAGAGATAATCTGACATCTGGCAAGTAACACAACCACTGGGTCTTCTGGGATCTCTCTCTCCCACTTTTTCCATTAATACTAGAACCTACGATACCTCAGCAGATGACCAGGTCTGGCTCAAAACCTGAAGAAAAAAGGATGCAATTACTTGGTCAGAGACAAGCTCCTATCTCCAACCCCCTGCCTCAGCTTCAGTAATACCTCCACTGCATTTCATGTTACCTTTGTCCTTTCTTTCAGCAGG